TTCAGTTAATTCTCTGGCATTAATAATTTAAAAACATTAATGCTTGTGACCTACAGGAATGAGGTCCCATGGTAGATGTAAAGATTCTTTCTAGAGAAGCTAATTTGGAATAATTTAGTCAAAGGCCTATCTCAAGGGACCTTTTGAGGGCTTTACTAATTCCAGGTTGGCATTGATTCATTGTCAATATTGAGTGCCTGTTATTTGTAAGGTTCAGTATGGTATAAAGCAGGCAGGCTTGGCCTCAGAAAGTGAAACAAAGGGAGTAGGTAGTAATATTAAAGTGAGTCAGTCCTATAGTAGCTTACAGCCTGGGCCTAGGAATCCAGATTCACTTGGGTTTCAATTTGCATTGCACCACTTACTAGCTATGTGATCCTGTGTGAGCCAAGGGAATATATAATGCCTACTTCACAAAGCTGTCGGGAGGGGAAAATGTGATCATTACAAAGGGTTTGCTGCAGTGTTGGCACATAGTAAGTATTCAATTAATGTTAGCTCCTCTTAATATTCTTTCTGAGTCCTAATGAAGTTTCAAGACTGTTTCCTTAGAATCATAAAAAATAGGATGTTGAAAAGGCTTTGGAAGTTATCTGCTTATCTCCACTGTCCTAAGAAATGACTTCCATTCCTTTTCCACCAACATTTAAAACATGGAATAAATACCACAACTGCACTCTTCTAATTACTGGTGGAATGACAGGAAATAAAATCAGAGGGAAGGCCAAGGGAATATGTAAGGGAAGTTGGAGACTAGTGGGGGAGGCATTGGGAGAGGCATTGAGAGAGTATGAGGAGCACAGGCTAAAGGGAGAAAATACAGGGAAGACAAGTAAGGAAAAAGAGACATAAAAGATGGCCTTGGACAAGTGTAAGAAGAAAAGTGAGAAAAAAGGAAAGAAGGAAAATACAGAGGGACCTTCAATGCAGGCACTGGCACGTTTAAGCTTCAAACGTTCTGAATTCTGATCATTGTAAAGTGTACACATTGCTTCACCTCTTGGAGCCCCGTTTTCTTTTGGAGTTTGTAATGCAGATTAGATGAGATTAGTAGGAGGGACACTCTGTTAATGAGAAAACTCTACTCAAATAAGGGATTAAGAATGCGAGAGAAAGCTGCAGGAAAAGAGAAGTGGGAAGAGTGGGGGGAGGGAGAGAGAGAGAGAGAGAGAGAGAGAGAGAGAGAAAGAGAGAAGGGGAATTGTTGACAGGGCAGGTGAGAACTGAGGAAAACCGCAGTAACGGTGCTGCTGTGGCTACTGTGGTGACTTCTCCAACACATCGAGTGTTGACAACTTGACAACTTGCCAGGTACGTTGTTAGACTTCTACATGCATAATTTCATGTTATCCTCATAGCATCTCTATGGGGCTAGAATCTAGTATTATCCTCATTTTATAGAAGAGATATCTGAAGCATAGAGAGGTTTTGTAACTTTCCTAAGGTCTGTGTGAAGTGGTGGCCGGGAAGGGATTCAAACACACGTCTGTCTATATGCAAAGCCAGTGCTGTTAAAATCATCTCTAAGAACCTCAAAAGAGGCTTACTGGGTCTAAGCTGAACCCACTTGTCCGGATTCTTCCAAGTCATCCCCTAGGTTCAACTCCTGCGCCCAAGCGACACTCGCCACGCCCTTTCTCTTCCCGGTCGTTTTGAAAGCCCCACCTCTCCTCTAACAGCGTCCCGTCTCCACGGAGATAGGCGCGGGGTGGGACTTCCTGCCTTACGCGAGAGCACTTCCGCCTCGAGCCGGAAGCGCCGTGTCTAACAGGACAGGTCTCGGCGCGTGGGGACTTGTTGGAGAGTTTAAGTGGCTGGACCGCGGCGGCGGTGAGAGTGAACGTCTCCGGCACTTGCGTTCTGCTCGGCGATGCTGACCCCCGCGTTCAACCTCAGCCAGGACCCGGACTTCCTGACCGTCGCCATCCGCGTGCCCTACGCCCGGGTCTCCGAGTTCGACGTCTACTTCGAGGGGACCGACTTCAAGTTCTACGCCAAGCCGTACTTTCTCAGGCGAGTTCCGGGTGCCTGGCCGTAGGAAGAGCGTATTTGGGGGAGGCATTCATTAGACAGCTGCTTTTATAGGGAGGATGAAAGATCGAGGGAGCTGTTCTCGATTTAGGGAATGCCTTTTTCTGAGATTTCCGCAGCTCCTTTTGGTGCTGAGGGAGTGCCCTCGTCCGGGCGTGTGTTCTAGGTTCTGCAGAATCCCGTTCCCTTCTTAAACCTTTTTAGATTCCACATTAAAGAGATTGCAGAACGCTTTAAAACGTGGCGTTTGGACCGTGCCGGTTTTCCAGTTTCTATCCTGTCATTCTGGTTCTCGTCCTTTTCTGACTCGTTCTTTCTTTCCTTTGGATCGGCGCTCGCTCTCCCAGCCTCTCCTCCCCGGGGATGGCGCGCGCTGACATGCTAGATGACTTCCCAGCCGATCGGTCCTTTTGACTTTTCCCAGTGCACTTTGTTTATCGACCTCTTGGCACCTTGTTTATCGACCTCTTGGCTGACTGCTCCCGACTTCCTGAAAGTCTCGCCTTTTCCCCTTGATACCCAGTTAGCCTAGTTCTCCTGCTTCCCTGCTGTCTGCCGCTTCACTGGTTTTACCGCGTAAGTGTATTGGTTTCTCCTAAGTCTTCGTCAGGGGCCGTCAACACTTGTCTGTTTAGGTTTTTCTCCTTGCGGAACCATTACTACGGTAGTAGCAGCTGACACTGATCACTTTCAGTGTGGTGGGCAAGCAGTGGCGTTTAGTGCGTTATCTTATTTAACTTTGGCAGCGATCCTTGGAGATGGGCACTACTATTAGCCCCATTGTATAAGGGCCACTGCCAAATTATTCTTCCTAAAACATTGCCAATCTCTTGTCCTGCCCTTTCTGACTAGGTAAAATCCATTCTCCTATTTTTTTCTCAAATGTAGCTCCAAGCTACCTTTCCTGCCCAAGTACTTTTGTGATACAGACCTTCCCCTTCAGTCAATCTGGTTCCTTCACTGTGCTTAAACCAGTTTGCTCAAATTTCCACTAGACGGTAACTTAACTTACCTACTTGAATGTACTGCACTTTCTTGTTTCTTTATTCATTTATCCCTTTGATTTATTTATTGGACTTCAGTGTTGGGATTATAGTGCTCCACAAGACTAAGTCCTGCCCTCAGGTAGTTTACATTCTGGCGGGGAGAGAAAAACAGTGAACTAACAATGTAACGACAAATTGCAGTAAGTGCTATGAAGAGAAAGAAGTGTACTGATATGGAATGAAAAGGGGCCCATATTTATATGAAGTGGTCAGGAAAAGCCTTTCTGAGGAGGGTATATTTAAGGCAAGGCATGAGGAATAGGAAGAAGGTGATTATGGTGGTAGCAAACATAGTGAATTCTTACTCCTACGCCAGGCTAATGCTTTGTGTGGATTATCTCATTTGATTTTAGCACAGCCCTACAAAGTAGGTTTTATTATTTACCCATGGCTGTGGACTGAATGTTTGCATTCTCCCCTCTCCCCACAAATTCCTATGCTGAAGCCCTAATTCCACATGGTGTCATTTCTGCTTTATTGTATTGATCAAAACAGCCTCAGGGCCTGCTGAATTTTAAGGGACATAAATCACAAGATTGGGAAAAGTGACCTGAGATGAGCAATCTTTGGAAATACAATTTGCTACATTCCTCTCCTTGAAGAATTGAGAGTCTAGCCGGGAAAGCAGATCTATAAGCAAATATGATTTCCTACGTAGTAAGAATTTCACTCTATGCCTATAAAGAGTTTAGGAGAAAGGAGTTGGTAAATAATAGCTCACATTTTCTGAACGCTCACCTACTGTGACAGCCACTAAGGTCTTTGCATTCTCATTTTATTTTCATAGTAACTCTGATAGATACTGTTATGTCTCCTTTTTTACAAATGAGATATTATGATTCTTGAAGTTAATTAACTTGTCCAAAGAAAGTTATACAGATGGTAAATGGCAGAGCTAGAACTTGATTCAGATCCTGACACTAAAGTTAGTGTTTGTAACCATTATAACAAACTAATTTATCCATAAACTGACTCCTTATTCTGGACTTAGAAGGGATCTTGTTCTAAAAATGCATTGTAGCTGGAGGAAACATTGGGATCAAAGGCAACTAAGTTGTGAAGCTCTGGGCTTTTTGGGGTCTGCCAAATGTTTTTTGTTTTTAATGATATTTAGTAACAAGCAAGGGGGGGTGGCACAGGAGGAAAGGAGACTCAAATTTTAAGTTTGGAATGGTATGGAGTAGGCCTGATGTAACCTACTGATGAGTCTAAATTATCTAGGCAACGTCAGGCAGCCATAGAAGCTTTTTCAAATAGAAAAGTGACAATCACATTTCTGTTTTAGAAAAATTCTTTTGGGGCCTTAGTGTGGAAGACTGAACCAGGGTAAAACCAGAAGCAGGGAAATCACTTCATTTCCTTTAGTACAAAAGACGGGGAAATCCACATGTAATAATAATGAGATTTAAGAAAAACTCTTTTGCTTTCTGCTTTTTTTTTTTTTTTTTTTTTGTAAGTAGTAATTTGCCTGATATTAGCAATTGGTTTCTTTGTTTCTCATTATCTGACTTTTTCTTCTTCTTTTTGGAAACCAATTAGTATACTTTTATTGAGTATCTGCTGTGTAAGGCACCAGATATATAAATAACTCTTTTATTCATCAATAAGGGAGAAGTACAGGTTGAGTATCCCTTATCTAAAATTTTGGATTTTTTAAAAATTTTGGAATATTTGCATATACATAATGAGATATCTTGGGGATGGGACCCAAGTCTAAACACAGAATTCATTTAGGTTTCATATACATCTTATATACATAGCCTGAAGGTAATTTTATACAACATCTTTAATAATTTTGTGCATAAAACAAAGTTTTGACTACAGTCGTCACATGAGGTCAGGTATGGAGTTTTCCACTTATCACCATAAGTGTCGTGTCGATGCTCAAAAAGTTGCACATTTTGGAGCATTTCAAATTTTTTATTTTCAGATTAGGGATGTTCAACCTGTACTATTATAACAATAGTGATAACTAATATTTACTGTGGCTTTTGTTTTTCAGTATCTATTTTAATGGTGCCTGGGGTTTTCAAATAGAAAGATGAGTCATCTCTAATTTCTACTTTCTTAGTTCAGGAAGGAATCTAACTTATTTAGTTTGTTAAAATGTAAAGGAAATGCTGAGGCATTTGCCTTGAAAATAGTTGATAAATTTTTTTTTTTTCTTTTTTGGAGACAGGATCTTGCTCTATTGCCTAGTCTAGAGTGCAGTGGCATCATCATAGCTTACTGCAACCTCAAACTCCTGGACTCAAGCAATCCTCCTACCTCAGTCTCCCAGGTAGCTAGGACTACAGACTAGCCACCACACCCAGGCATACACCACCACGCCCAGCTAATTTTTCTATTTTTTATAGAGACGGGTCTTGTTGTGTTGCTCAGGCTGGTCTCGAACTCCTGGCCTTAAGCTGTCTTCCCACCTTGGCATCCCAAAGTGCTAGGATTATAGGCGTGAGCTACTGTGCTCAGCCAAAAATGGTTGATAGATTTTGATGGGTAAATATATACCATTATTGATAGTAACTTATGTCACATTGTAATTTAAGGACTTCATGAGGCCTTCTGTTAAATCTGCAGATTAACCCTTCCTGGAAGAATTGTTGAAAATGGAAGTGAGCAAGGGTCCTATGATGCAGATAAAGGTATTGCCTTTGGAATTTTTGTTAGTTATGTCTTTGGCCTTTTCATGTTAGAGTATCTACATAATAATCTTTGAAGATACTATGGGGACCTTTAGATATCTTGCAGGTGCAGTCTCTTCCTGTATGGTTTCTGAATGTCCATTGCCTGTTACTTGTGGATCATTTGACAATTAGAATCTTTTTCTCAGTTCTTTTAAACTATTTCACCATATTCTTCAATGTAAAATTAAATTAGTTAAATACTCTGGTTCTATTTCCTAGAAGTACTTCTCCTATATTTAGTAGATGTTTAAAAATAAAAATTAGAATGTGTGAGACAATTGACTATGAAAAATGTAGATGATTTATAAGCTTTTGAATGGAATCTTTCTTGTACAGTTTTCAAACTTGAATTTGAATAACAGGTAAGTGTGAGAGAAACTGTCCATGGGTGGCGTTTAAAGGCTAATTGAATTTTCTTCTCATGATTAATAAGCCCCTCATTTCAGCTAGTCATGAAACCATTTATTTTTCATTTATAGAAGCTGCTGGCTTCTTTGTCATTGGATCTGAAATAAGAATACCTTGTGTACTCTTGTGTAATTTATTGAATGAATATTTGTTGACCTCAGTGAACTAGGGTAAGGCAGGGATGAAAGCGTTAAACAACAAAGTTCTAACCCATAATGCCATGTAATTAATGTGATAATGAAGTATTAATGCAACTGCCTTTCTAGGTAGTAAATCTGCTTTTAATTGCAGGTAGGTTGCATGTTGAAACAAAGTCATTAAATTTTAAAAGTACGCTAAGTTAAGGAAGGTTGTATATGTGGAAGTATTTGGATTGAGTTGTGTTTGACGTATTGGAGTACAGTTCAGTACACTGAAAGAGGTAAAATGTTTTAAAATGTAAGAGTAATAAATAATGTATTAAGTTTCCAGGGGAGCCTAGATGAGGTTGATAAACCCAGTCAAGAAGAAAGAAAAGAAATACATAGAATTTGAGTCTGCCATAGACAGACTTTAGGGTTGTATCTCTTGACATGCAAAGAAACCTTATCAAGCTGTAGTGGCTTTATTTAAGATTACATGTATTTTTAAAACTACTGCCATTCTCCATTGGATTAGATATTCTGATTTTTCTTCCTTGTCTAGAAATACATGTTTTTAGTAACTGTTGGTTAATTTTAAACTATTACCTGCTCAGTCCATTGATTTTTAGAAGTTTTGACTTGGATTTTTAATATTATCAGTAGGTGAAGGTTATACTGTGTAGG